CACCCCTAGATGTAACTTTTGATGATTTTACGGAGTACCTTTATGCAGGTGATGTTGCTTTCACTACTGGTAATGCCTATGGGAGTACTGGTCCCACGTCTTCTCCCCTGGTTTTGATTCCAGCACCTAAACCCTGGCAGATACAGATTCCTAGTCTGATACCACTTTCTGTTTAAAGCGTGTATCCATCACTGTGTGGATCTTAGTGGAAGCAGTAACATGACAGGAAGCTCTAATTACTCATCACTTCTTAATTATAATTGGAAACATTCATTGCTGAGAGTTTCATATCAGGCGTAGAGATATGAGGATATCAATCTTCTTATCTAATCTTGGCAAGAAAGGGAATAAGTGTTCTTTGTTCCCAAGACTCAAATTATCCCTTTCAAAGTACAGTCACACCAGTCTCTGCTAATATCCACTCCATCTCCTGTTCACTCCAATTTAAGCTTGGATGTTGGATGAATTCAAGGATGGGACTTCTGCTTCAGTGCAGGAGTTCACTTTTGTTGAACTCTGCTGATTTACATCCAATGGAAACAGACGCACTTTGTTTGGAAAGAGAGACGTTATTAGTCGTTTTTGTTTTGTAGTATGTTTTGGGCGTTGTAGTCATATGTACACCAAAGTCCTCTTTCCAGCTGTGTCATACAATTCTTTTTTCTCCTATTTTTAACAGGTTTAAGTTAAAGATCTAAGACTTTTTTAAGCATTCAACAGATAAATTTCCCTCAAATTGTGGTTGCAAATTTGGTTAGTGAGCACTTTCCTAAGATATTCCATCCCCCTGACAGGTGTGGCATGTCAAGATGCTGATAAAACAGTGTCACTGCTACACAGGTGTGTCTTGGGGACATGAGGCTTTTGATTTACTGGTCCATCTACGTCCCAGCCCTCACCCATGGTCATGAGCTCTGGGCAGTGACAGAAAGAATGAGACCTCAGATACAAGGGGCTGAAAGAGCGTCCTCTGAGGGGTGGCCAGGCTCAGCCTTAGAGATAGGGTGAGGAGCACAGACATACCGAGTGAGCCGCAGCTCCTTGTTGAAAGGGATGAGTTGAGGTGGTTCGGGCATCTGATCAGGATCCTCCTGGGCGTCTCCCATTAGAGGTGATGCAGGCACGTCCCACTGGTAGGAGGCCCCGGGGCAGACCCAGAGCACACTGGAGGGATTACATATCTCGTCTGGCCTGGGAATGCCTCAGGGTCCTCCAGGAGGAGTTGGAAAGCGTTGCTGGGGAGAGAGACGTCTGGGGTGGTTTACTTGGTCTGATGCCTCTGCAACCCAGCCCTGGATAAGCAGATTAAAATGATGGATGGATGTTATTGTAATGCCGGCAGCCGTCCAATCTCAATCCCTTATCTGTGCAAGTGTATTCAAAGTCAGGGTTATTGGCGATATGTGTTAAGAATAATTAGAAGTCAGCTGTGATTATATTGCTTTAAAAGGCTTGCACTGTTAATTAAATTTAGATTAGAGATAGATTTGTCCGATCTTGCTGATCCCTGGTCTGTTTAACGAGGTCGGTGTTGGTGCTGATAACAGTTTCTCTAGTATTAAGATGGTGGATGATTTGGAGCTGTTGCCCAAAAAATGTGTATGATAGGTGACTACAATCCTAATTTTAAAGACTGATGAGCAATCAAGCTGCGTTTTGTACAATCCTGATAACTTCAGTTATCAGATTATTGCCTCTCAATCTAGTTTTAAAGTGAAGATTGTGTGTTAACCTGCTAACTAAAGGGCAGTAGCTGTTGTCAGACCATATTCTCTTCGCTGCTCTGGAGATTCAGAGCCGCTGCTGTTCACTCTGTAGTCATTGCAACTGAATAATCAGTCATTTTGGTGTTTGTCACTTTGTAAGTATTGTGTTGCTGTATTACAGGTTTTGTCCAGCCTGCAAACAGTAGTTATTGTCTGTGTTTGGAGTGATCTGAGCACTTTGTTGGCTGCAGGGTTTGTCTGAGTCATAAGAGGTGTTGTTTTTTTGTTTCTTAGGTAACGTATTCTTAGAAAGTGTTTCTTCACGTTACCTCTGCAGTTGTTTTAGTCATGGTTTCCTCTCAATGTTTGTGTTTCAGCATTCAAACAACAAACTGTCACATTTCAGTGTCTCAGAATCAAGTCCAGTTGTGGTAGTTTCCTGGAGTTTGTCTGAAACAAAAGATGAAACCTTGAAAATGTGAAAGTACTCAAACAAAGATAGCTGCGTTACGCTCAGATTTATCCTTCATTTTGGCGCTCTGTGTGGGTTCATTACAATTTGGGAACGACCAGCCCTTAGTGACGATGATGGAGCTCTTCAATTAATGACTCAGCTCCTGTGATTTGTCTCCGCTGTCACATTAATGGTTTGAGTCAGCACTTTCTGAGTCCTATATACTCTACTGCCAAAACTCTTTTTGTATTTCCTTGAGAAGAATGATTAAAACCTAAACCTGTCCATCTGACCCTCATCACTCATCCACCAGTTTACTTTGGAAATGATTCCCATCTCTGGACAATAATTAATTCGCTAGCATTTCAACAGCAGGACTCAGAAACCCTGAGGCTGTTATATTAACACTGGCAGTGAAAGAGCCTTAAAACTAAGCTGTTAATTTGAGTTTATTAAGTTTATAAAGATTCGGTAATGCTTGCCAACGCTTCTCACACAGAGACTTTGAGCGAAAGTGTTTTTGCAGAGATCCAAGGACGTGAACAGATAGAGAACAAGGGCAGGAGAGACTGCAGATTGAATGAGTTCATCCCTCTGTCTAAAAACTGGGCCAAGGCCTGTGTGTGTATTTGTTTGTGTGTGTTCCGCACTTTGTCCACGTCCTGTAAATATAAACTTTATATTTATAATGTTGCAGACCTCAACATTTTCTCTCTCATTTTATTTCTACAGTCCATTTATTGTGCTGTTGAAGGGAATTTGGGTCGCAGAAGGTGTAAAATAAATGGCCATCACGGACAGTTTGGGTTCATTAGTCCAGACAGAGAAAGAGTTGCTCCATATTCTGTGAAAGGAGGTCAAAGGTCAGAGGTCAGCAGTGATGCTTGTTTGGTTAGTTTCTAAACTTCTTTGGTGGCTGAGGGCTTTTTCCACCTGTAGTCCAATTGGAAAAAACATTAGCATAGGTTGCATTCCTGCGTTTGAACTGTTGCTTGCCAGGTTAAACAAATCCAGCAAAATTGAACTAGAATTGAAGTAAGGTGAGAAGAGATGGAAGTGGATGCACCAATACTCCTCAGCCACAATATGAAGCTGACAGTTCAAACTTAAATTAAATTAAATTTGCTTTGTAATGTTCTGCTGTCCAGAACAGTACTGCAAAGAAACACAAGTATACAACCAGGGCTTTCAGATGTGGTTCATTTTGCTTTCAGTAGCCCAACACCCTTTACCTGGTGACTGACTGATTTATTTTCAAGATTAAAAAAGCACAATATGACGTGAAATACAAGAGGCCTTCATATTTAGTCAGACGCTCTATTGACTCAGTGAGCTTAAGCATCACATTTCAAAGCGCTATGCAGTTAGAGGTGGTGACATTTTAATGTATTGTGTTGTGACTGTCTCGCCTTTTATTTTATTTTCTGTTGTTTTTGCTGACAGACAGGCAGCTAGCTGCGTTAGCATGCTGAAACATAGTGCCCACTGCGCACTCTCCACTGGTCAGCCAACGTTCATCTTGGCTGCTCTGCACTGTGCACCTCCTGGGTTGGGTTAGAGGCAACTATTGCACTGCAGTATTGGTGCAGCTCATTTGACAGCATTGTTGCAGAAACATGGTGTCCAAGCTCAGGTCGCCCCCAGACATTGTTTACTATGGCCACTTTTACACTGCCTCTTCAAAGCAGGAATTTTAGGCGGTTATGCCGCCTCGCTATTCTGTATAAAAGGAACAGTCGCTGGATGGGGGGGCAGTGTTGCCTCACCTTTAAGCTGACATCGGAGGTAGTAAAAGTGCCGAAATGATGTCTGTATGAACGAGACAGCCAGTAGGACGGGTGTGACGTTTTGATGAGCTGTTATGCATGGGACCTATGGCAGGAGATTTAAAAAGTAGCTGATAGCAGTTAGCCGCTAACTCAAAGTAGAAGAACAGCAGCCAAAAATGACCACAATTTGGGAAAACAATGGGGTCCAGGAGCTCTTTACCCTTCGAGCGGAAGACAAGATCAGCCGCCATATAACAGACAGTAAATGATTGTTGATGCCATGTTTTGACATTGTTATTGTAAATAAAGTCCTGCTGATGTATTTGAGCAGCATGATGCTGCCGTTTGTTGGTTCTGTGTAAAAATGCAAAGGCGGAAAGAAGAAGGGACTTTATAGTGGCCCTTTAGTGCGATCTCTGCGTAACAAATAAACCTCCTTTAAACATCATGTTGTGTTTTTTTTCCAGCCTACTGAACCATTTCTTTCTATACATGACTTGTGACCTCTGACCCTTAGTATTTTTTTATTTATTAATCACACCACTGCGGCATTACCTTGTAACCTTTTCTTTAAGTGCTCTTGTATAGCTTGTATTATAACGTCTCTTCCTATGTAGGTTTGATTTATGTTTCTCCTTACTCTCCTTACTGGGGATCACTAAAGGCATATCCTCTATTATGTAATCTTATTTTATAAGCTATTGTTTATAATGTGTCCAGTGTGGGATGCAGTGTCCTGTGACTCATGACGAATCGTCAGCCTAACATCATAGTGACAGCCGCATCACTTCAACATTGTGACAACGCCACATCTGACCAAACTGTCAGTCACGCTGATGAAAGAGACGCCATTAAAGGTCTAAGAAGTAAACGACTGCTGTAGAATCGTTTACATGTAATGCTGTCTGCCACTGATGACCAGTCACTGCTCATGATTTGCTCAACGCTTCATAAAGTAAAAAAGATATTTTTTTGTTTTTTATCTCGGTACAGAACTGATTTATTTTGTTCTTGATCTTCTATCTGTTAATGTCTTTTTTCTTCTTCTTCTTGTTGTCTTTGTCCCATCAGCTTCAGGCACAGAAGCTCCGTCTCGCCAGGAGTCAGGGTCCGTACTATGGTGGCTCGCTACCCAACGTCAACCAGATCGGCAGGAACCCTCAGGACTTCCAGGTAACTGACTGCCACATCCTCTCACTTCTGACCTGTTTTGTTTGTTTTCAACTCTTCTGTTATTGGTATACTGCTACAACTACGGATCGTACTATTTTTGGTACGACTCCTTCTGTTTCTGTAACTACTATTGCAGTGTTGATGCTACTACTGTTACTACGGCTGCTATGTCTACCACCGGGACAGTTGGGCATACTACTAATACTAATACTGTTTCTACTGCTGTGGTGTTGTATTATTTCTGCTGCTACAACACTGCTCAAAAAAATGAAGGGAACATTTAATGGTCTCAGTGTAAGACCAAGTCAGTTAAACTTCAGGGATATCAATGTGTCCATTCAGGAAGCACAAGTGATTGTGAATCAGTTTCAGCTACTTTGGTGCAAATCAAAGTGACAACAGGTGCAATGGAGAGGCAAAAGCAAGACAACCCCCATAGAGCTGGACAGGGCCGTAGAAGGGCATCAAGCCAGCAACAGGACCGGTATCTGCTCCTTTGTGTGAGGAGGAACAGGAGGAGCACTACCAGAGCCCTACAACATGACCTCCAGCAGGCTACTGGTGTGCATGTTTCTGACCACACTGTCAGAAACAGACTCCATGAGGGTGGCATGAGGGCCCCACGTCCTCTAGTG